AAAGCGGTAATTTATACACGGACGGCCAATAAAGCGAATAAAGTACTTTTGTCACGGGTTTTTGTCATGGGTGGAGCTTGCGCATGCGCAATTGCTTATAGTGCGGCATAATTTAGCCTGTTAAACATTTTGATTCGTTTTAAACACTGTATTATCCTCTTCCACGGCATAGAAAACAAAAATATTACAATTTATATGAGATAATAAATATGATGTAATTTAATCAGTCAAATATTTTACCTAATAGCAGTATTAAAGTAAATAAACACGAAGAATAAAACAACGCGGCGTAAAAAAAGGAGTCGAGAAAAGCAAAAGTGTTTTAGTTTCTTTTTTATATGGTCGACGAAGTGAACAAATCCAGGCAATTTGAAAAGTTTCCAATCTTAGAGAAGGATTTCAGATGAAGAACAAGAAGCAGAAGTTTTCATTTTATCTGTTTTTCGCACTAGTCGCAGGCGTAGTAAATTGAAAAACTTAGCGCATAGTTGTGCGCACGGTGTGCACGATGCCCGATAATATAAATTATTACAAAATAAAGAAAAGCGTTTCTAATAGGTTTATCGATACGTTTTAAACTTTCATAAATCAAACAAATAATATCCGCGGATTTTCGCCGCGTTGAATTTCGATTAATCATGCAAACGCAAAGATAATTAATTAGATTTTTTTAATAATTAGCCATTTACACGTCGGCGATGTGTAAATGATTAATGAAAAATCAATGTGTTTTTTGTGCACCCAACGAAAATCGTATTTTTGTGCGCGAAAGTCACAATTTACATTTTGATTCAATAAAATTAATAAATGTGAGTACAAAATTGTATTTTCTATGCGCAAATAAAAGTTGAAAAAAATGTGAAAATTCACGTTTATTGCAAATGTACATTAATTAATCACTAATTGAATATTATTACTCCATATGTGTTAATTAATACAGTTTAATTGATGTATCAGCTAAATTCGCGTAAATGCCTGTCATGGATTCAAGTTTACAAGGACATTGCTCCTAGCTCGAGATCACAATTGAGATTAATTAACAAAACAGGTCCTGGAATTGCGAGAACACGAATAGTAAACAATGACAACCCACAATTATAAACACTTCTTATTGATTTAGGCATCGAATTGTGCGCATATTCAATTTTTGAATAAAAAAAATTTTAATTCGTTTAACAAAATTTTTGTGTTATGGTATAATATAAGTTTTATATTAACTTAACAAGGCGCGCATATACTTTCTGGCCAATTAAAAATTGAAATTTCTATTACGGCGCAATTGTGCTACAACAATGCCGGCAACTTTTCGGTGCGCTTTTAAAGTTTTGAGCTGTGACTCAATTTTCAAATATAAGAATAATGAAACCGTGGGCCCCGAAGAAGTCGAAGCTGCTTTGATCTTAAATTAAGCGTGAAGGAGCGCGCGGAAGCGACGTCAGCGCCCCGACGAAGATGTCGACGACAGGGCGCCGCCGAAAAAAAATCCGCCGCCGCCGCCGGAAGGAAAGGTTACATTGGACTATTAAGTTCGCCCCTTGTGCGCTTGAGATTTGAAAGGGAACTAAGTAAGCGGACTCAAATTAAAATCCATTCTTTGTGTCAACGCCAAAGTTCGTTCTTTTCATCACACGATCTTCTTCAACCGCGCGTAATCGAATAATACTGCATCGAATCGTGTGTTGTGCCTAGTTAAAAGCGGAAATTGCTCGAGTAAAATGACAACATAAACAAAGCAAGATGCCGTGTTTCATAGGTGGGTACAGGTACGAGTGGAACATCACGTTGTGTATTTGCCGTGCGTTTCCTGTGCATTAACTGAGACGTTCCCGGCTGGAATTGCGAAATTCGACGGCTGTGATGTTTGCGAACGTAATGCGTACGACATCGTGCAACATACACAAATTAAATTGTAATCGTCTTATACATATAATAGTTAAATTAACAATGCTTTTCGCGCTTGAAATTTACTCGCGCATATTGGCAATAACACGAAGAACAAACAAGCGTAGAGCGCGCAGAAAATGATTGAAATTCAAGTGTGAGACCGTAAATATTGACGCATTCTTCGCGAGTTGAAAGCCAAGCGTGCACCATTGTCCTAACTAAATTCCAACCGTGAATTGTCTATAATGGTTGCGCAAAACGAATAAAACGGCGATGAATGCAAAATTCAATCAAAATCAACCACATGGCGCACGCACGACACTCTCACAGGTCCAGTAAATATTTATGAACGCAATATAAAATATAGCAAATGAAAATAAAAGTGATATATGTGCGATGAACACGGCTTCACCGCCGCCGCCGCCGCCGCCGCCGGGAGAGGTGCGAGGCGAATTAATTTTACACGGCGTGACCGTGCGCGCCCGCCGGCCAATAAAATAGAAAAGAAAAACTAGAATTTACGAGCGCGGCCATAATTTCGAAGGACGTCATTTTCGCGAGAATGGTAAAATGTATATACTCGGCGCGCGAATATAGTAATAGTGGGTGGTGGCGGCGCACTCTTACTCATTTTCTCGCTTTCGCTTTTTTCGGGGCGCGTTGAAGGCGCCCGTTTATCGCGTTACGTTTTTAAGTGTCAAGAAAGCAATTTGTGCTGTTGGGCTATTATAAACGTAAGCATTTTTCCTTCGTTTTGGTTACGTGCGCCTCCTATACATTTACTTTACGATGGAGTGAAGATCGTTTTACTTATTTCTACACGTCGCCGTTATATTTTTTACAAGATCCTCCCGAGATATCGTTTGAAAGATATGTGAAATATATGCAAATGTTGGGACTACTAATGGCGCCTAATTCTAATATAATTTTTGCGTGCTTGGAATTTTTTCACTATTATTTATAGATTTTTTCAGCGTCTATTAATGATTAACTCTTAACCGATAGAAAAATTCGTGTTTTTTTTTGTTGAAATTTTATTATTTCACCTTGTAAACCGGAAGAAAACAGCCGCACGTGAAGACAACGAAAATAATAAAAGAATCCAGAGAAGCGGGAAAAGGCGCAAATTGAATTATCGTTCTTTAGCAATCTCGTAACGTCGTATTAGGCAGTACATCAAGGAGCAGTCATCAGACAACTGGAGCACGTAGCCATAATTCAATGAAAAACTTTCGGAAAAACAAGACGGACTGCAGTGTTGATTTGTTGTGTGTTTTCATACTGGCTGTCCGTCACACTTTGCGCCGCCACATTTCATCCCGACACGTCTACCACACATAAATAATAACCGAAACAAATAACGAAATACTCCACACCGGTGTGAGTCGCAAACGTCGTTTTCGTTTACATGCGGTAATGCAATGTTTGCGCCGCACTCATTAGTCCGCCAGTGGAAAGAAAACTTTCCTGCCTCGCGCCACCACTGTCAGAAAACGCGCGACTAATTAAATCAGGCGCGGGCGTTTTAGTTTTTAATGCATGCATAACAGTATGTCACACAGTAACTATATATTCCTCTCCAGCATGCACACAGAATGCTTTGTGCGCGCCCGGAATAAGAACAAATAAATTACGCGCGCGCGCTGGCGAAACTTTGAGCATTACTGTGCCATCATAAGCACGTTTGCGTTTGAAACAATCGAAAACGAGTGCTGGCGGGCGGGCGGGCGCTGCACAAAGCGTAATTCCGACGACACTCCGAAATAAGCAAATATTTGCGTTGGCAAATGACTGAGCATCAAAAGGACTGCTCAAAACTACAAGCACTCGCAAACGAATGCCCACTTTATATTAATATAGTGGCGGTGGTGGAGGCGGCGCGTACCTCCGCGTTGCGCGCAAATTGGATTGTAACATTCTGTCCATCAGCACACGGCCGAGGAATGAAAAGCTCTTACTTTCAACGTTTCCAAACCGAAAATACTGTTTGCTTTCAGCTGCAGACGTGACTTTAACTTGGCGCGCACGCAAAACGACAAAATACGCGCGCGCGCGCTTATTCAATTAAATTAATTAACGGACTGTTATGGCTAGACAAACAAAAAATAAACACTCATCGCGCGAAATGAGTTAAACACAACGCGACGCGAAAATGAGCGCTTGCATTAATTGCGCACAATTTACGATTCAATTAATTGTGCGTGTCGGGCGCGCGCAGCACAAATTGCTTTTTAATCTCTTAAATTACAAGTATGTTTAAATGGAAGCGATTGACAACGACTGGCAGAAGAAAGTCGGGCTCGGTTTTCTCATTCGTTTAACTAATGGAAGTTGCTGGTTGTGGCCCACTTCTAATAAACTATTTGCTGCGCAAAACGCAACTACGAGACCGCATGGGATCACTAAAGGATAATAAAGTAAAATAACAATCCTGGCTGATGCTGACTGGGCGGGAAATGCCACCCTCTTGGCTGTACCTCCATATCGTAAAAAGTTACGATTAAAGACTGAGCGCAAGCATAAAAAATGAAAATTAAATATTTTCTTGCTAGTTTTATTCGTTTCCAGCGCTGAAAATATAAAATTTCATTGTTTTTACTCATGCACCGTCAAGTTATTACATTGTATTCGTAAAACTATGTTTTGTGCAGTGTTTACAAACAAATATTGTTCACATCGCGTGATTTCGAACGAACAGATAACAACAAACAAGTTTAAACATGTTTCACGCGTTGAATTAATGCAAATGAACATCTACATCCTAGCGGCATCTATTCGTCATCTATTTAAGTATTTAAATGGTGTACATGAGGTCACACCGACACGTGTATTTGCATTTAACGCTATGTTTTACACACTGAAACAAACAAACAAATTTGCGCACACATCTCAGGAAAATAAATTGCTTGTAAGTGCACTGTAGCGACATCTACACTTTTTTCAGAAAACTAACCTATGAATCAATTTTCAATTTGTTGGAAATTTTAAGTAATTATTCTTTAAATAACAGAGAAATATGCATTATTAGACGCATAAATACTATAAAATTAAATCTAGTTATTAATAAAACCATTTCTTGTTACTTTTCTATCAAAAACATTAAAATAAAACTTTTTGGTGTTAGCTGGCTGACGTTTACTATTGTCAGTGTAAGTTACGGCAAACAGGAACGTTGCATGTGCTGGACATTAACATTCTAAATTCTTGGTGAAACCGGCCGCAGTGAATCAAAAGCAGGACAATCATGGGCATTCTCGAGAAAATCTCTGAGATCGAAAAGGAAATCTCTCGAACGCAGAAAAATAAAGGTAAACACATTGTCTTAACCTCCATGCAGTGTAAAACTCACCGCTAAATGTGTGAATTTTACAGCAACTGAATACCATTTGGGCCTGTTGAAAGCAAAACTTGCAAAGTATCGCTCACAGCTCTTGGAACCATCGAAAAGTCCGAGAAGGTGAAGGTTTTGATGTGTTAAAGAGTGGTGATGCCAGGGTTGCTCTAATTGGATTTCCATCAGTAGGCAAGGTAAGATTTACTCTCATCTTTATTTATATTAGAATAAAACTGATTTGTTTGATTGTTTTTAGTCTACTTTGTTATCTACATTGACAAAGACTGAATCTGAAGCAGCTTCATATGAATTCACCACTTTGACTTGCATCCCAGGAGTGATTGAGTACAATGGAGCAAATATTCAGCTGCTGGATCTGCCTGGTATTATTGAAGGTGCTGCCCAAGGTAAAGGTAGAGGTAGACAGGTGATTGCAGTTGCCAGGACTGCGGATTTGGTTGTGATGATGTTGGATGCCACCAAAAAAGATGTGCATAGGGATTTACTGGAGAGGGAATTGGAAAGTGTTGGAATTCGGTTGAATAAAAAGAAACCCAACATTTATTTCAAGGTTTTTGTGTGATTTTCGTGTTAAAATGTTTGTAAACATCTGGATTCTTTGCAGATTAAGAAAGGTGGTGGATTATCCTTTAATTCAACATGTCCACTGACGAAATGCGACGAGAAACTCGTGCAGATGATTTTACACGAGTACAAAATCTTCAACGCTGAAGTACTCTTTCGTGAGGACTGCACAGCCGATGAGTTAATCGATGTTATCTGTGCCAACCGCGTCTACCTCCCATGTTTGTATGTCTACAATAAAATTGATCAAATTTCGATTGAAGAAGTGGATCGTATCGCGAAACAACCTTTTTCAGTGGTTGTGAGGTAACCTATCAAAGCTTAAATATTTCTGTGTTAAATAATTGACTTATTCTTTGTGTTTTTATAAAAATTTCAGTTGCAATATGAAACTTAACCTAGATTTTCTTCTGGAAACTCTCTGGGAATACTTATCGCTGATCAGAGTGTACACGAAGAAGCCTGGTCAACCACCAGACTTCAGTGACGGTCTGATTTTGCGTAAAGGCGTCTCGGTTGAACACGTTTGTCATGGCATTCATCGCACACTTGCAGCGCAGTTCAAATACGCACTCGTGTGGGGCACCAGCACGAAATACTCGCCGCAGCGTGTCGGTGCCAGCCACATAATGGCCGACGAGGATGTTATTCAGGTTGTTAAAAAGTAGGTAGCCATTTTGCTCTTTCTAGGCGCCGAATTACGGATTTGTGTGAAGCACAATCGAAATAGGCATGTCAACCTATTTCATTTGTTCTTTTGGCATATTTGTAATTTAGTTTTAAGCATTGCAAATAATTGTGTGACGTGGCATGTTGCCATCAGTCTATTTTTATGACAATTCTGCGTTAAATCGTGAAGAACCAACGGTTGTAATGATCCTGAGTGCATTTAAAATCATTTGAAGTGCGAGTTTTGCATCATGCGTTATTGATTAAAGTTCTCAAGCATTTTAGATCCCATTGGACTTGGTTAACCCTACAAAAATCCTTAAATTCACACAAAATTGTTACAAATCCCAATGTTACATTTTACGTTTATTTTGTGTTAACTATGCTTTAGAGATAAATATGGTGTCGCCGCTGCACCTGTACGTCGACCAGCCAGCTGATTGTCACAACTGACTACGTCGAAAACGAAGCGCAAGAACACGCCAGTCAACCACAGCGCAGCACATTCCAAAAACGACTCCGAAAAATTCAAAAAAACAGTTAACAAAGAGTGGGGCTGCGTCGATTGGAAATCCATGTACGTTGAATATTAATTAAGCGTAACGCGACAGTGCACCAATGCGTTTTCATCCGTAGAGATATGCCGAATCTTATCACCTCCAATGCGTTCCTCCGTTAGTTACATACTCTCCAGCTCAGCCACTGAACCCAACATGTCCCATCCGGACTACGAACAGTACTCGCACGATCACGCCGCCTTGCTGATCCTCATCCGACACATCGGGCCGCAGCTGAAGCCGAAAGTCTACAACAAATTCTTCGATCGCATCAATCGATTGAACACCATCAAAGTCACCGACTCCACTGGACAGGGCAGAAATATATTCGTGCGGTATGTGAAGGAATATCCAATCGAGAACAACGACTGGGGCGATTTTCAAGTAAATATTTACACTACAACACACAAAAATCATGTTTATAAGCTGAAATTTATTGTAGACACATAGAAGATTACTGGGATTGATCTCAATTGGCAAATATGATTCACAACAGGAGTTGAACGAGATTTGCAGGGTGCATGAAAGCCTCAAAGTGAAATATACAAACACCTTATATGATTCCAGGTGTATTTTATTGAAGCCCTCTGAGGTTGAGAGCCCCATTGAACAAATTGGTGATGGTAGTGTAGGCACATCAAGTTGTGAAAGTGAAAGTAAGTTAAATCTAGCATTATTTGTTTATATAATTAACATTTACAAGTTGTAGTTGTGAAAGATGATGATTCAAGTCCATATGACAGCTCAAGCTATGACAAAAGTTCCAGTGAAGAAGAGAAAAAAGACGACAATAAAGAAGCTACACAATCCACAGATCAACCATCAGAAGAAAAAAACCCTGAAGAAGATGCGCGTAAACACAAAGTCGAGATGCTACTAGAAAAGCTCCGCGAGGAGCGCACGCCGGATAACAAATTCACAACGCCGTCGAACTTCAAAACGCGCGCGTTTTCTACTCGGAAACCGATCCATGCACGGAATTAGAACAACATTTAACAGAGTTTGTAAATTCGCTCTTCTGGGTATTAGAATCCAAGCGGTTGGAAAAATCTCGTGAAAAAATCGAGCGTGTGAGTCTGCTACTTGCGCCGTTCGAGAAAAAAGACATCATCGGGCTGGATATGGAGTCGCGTAATAATAAAAAGCGTTGCACGGGTCGTGTGACGAAACACTTAGGTGATTTATGCCTGCAATCTGGTTTAGTAAATGAGGCGTTGACGTATTATTTTAATGCCGCCGAGACGCTGAAGTCCGTCAATGATTGGCTATGGTTAGGCGCGGCGTATGAAGGTCTCTGTGTCACTTCAGCGTTGATTCTCTATCCGAACATTCAGCGTTTACTTCCGCTACATCGTAACTCTAGTCTGCAGGAAGGTTCACCGAAAAAATCCATTACGCAGGCGCCGATTCTCGAAACAAGCGTAAAAAAAGATTCAATTCACTTATTAACACATGAGGATATTCTCAAACGCTATCGCGAGGCTATTATACACTATAGCAAGTATCAAAACGCGGGTATTATCGAAACAGAGGCGAGTTTTAAAGCGGCGCGTATTTCCGTCGAGCAAAATCACTCCCTGCAAGCGGCGAGTTTCCTCCAAAACGTCGTATTTATTAACCTGACGCTATCCGAACAAGAAAAGATTCAACGCTTTGAAACTCTGTCAGAACTTTATACACAGATCGGTTTTCGTCGAAAAGCAGCGTTCTGTCATCGCCTAGCAGCGAGTCGTTATGTTTCCGTGCAAAATCCGAAACCCAACTGGAATCAGTGTTATAGTTTGATGCTGCAGAGCTTCCCAGGGCATAAATTGAGTCTGGATCCGACTGACATGGCGCAAAATAGTACTCAAGTCGGCTGGCCGAGTCTACAAATACATATTCTACAAGAATTGGTTGTCGCCGCGAAGAGAATGGGACATTCTGCGCTTGCAACGAGGCATATGACGTTCCTCTTGCAGACAATGTGGGATCATCTGTCACAGAACGATCAGAAAGAGTTATCGTTACAGCTGCAGTCGTTGTCATCACAGTGTGAAGGTTCACCTGTGCCGCTTGTGCTTGAAAACGGCGTGGTTATCCCACCGGCGAATTTGATCAACATTCCCATCTGTAAGGGTTACACGCTGAAGAATCTACAACCACATTTACAGCCGCAGAAAATCGAGACGCTCAAGGAGGATATCGGTCCGTTTTTGTTTACGCCGATTAACTTCGGTAGTTTGGAGCGCAAAACGAACAAACCCGCTAATAAAATAGGTAATTCCTAAGTAAATCTTCATATTGCTATACTAAACTAACTATTTTTGTGTTTGTTTGTTGTTTTCATAGACTTTTTATGGATTGAAAATGATTTATGCGAAGTATCGCTAAAATTATTAAATCCGTTGCCTTTCGAGCTGACTGTGTCCAATATGCGGCTATTGACTTCAGGAGTGGTGTTTGAATCAGTCCCGGAGACAGTTGTACTAGCACCAGAGACTCCCACACTGTTAACTCTTGTGGGAACACCAAAAGAAGTCGGTGAGTTGGAATTGCTCGGTTATAGCACGCATACACTCGGCGTAAAATCAAATTGTCGCCTGCGCTACATGAAAAACTTCCTGCCTTCGTACTCAATCGAAGTGATCTCTTCTTTACCGACAATGGATGTGAAAACATCCCTGCCGCAGAGCGCCACTTTTCCACGTTTCAAAACTTTGAAAATGTCGTCACCTCAGCGAGTTTAAGTCTACACAATGGCGAAACAACTGAATGTACAATTACTCTGACGAATACAAGTCAAGTACCTATTGAGATGCTAGAAATAACTATTCAGAGCGGATTAGATCATGTCCTGCAAGGGCAGATTTTCCAGTGGTCCGAGGAGGCTGTTAAGGAACAACTGCCGATTCAGCCCGGGCAGTCAGCGACGATGAGTTTACAATTGTACGCGGCGGCGAATTTCCTCAACGCAGCATATTCAGCTGCGGATTTATCCAGCGGCGCATTCGATGGATCACAGGCAGGTAGTAGTTTATTATCCACATCAGCAGGTCCGAGTTCACTGCCATCGCGGTTGAATTCGCCTGTGAATTCACATTCCGCGATGGGTAGTAGTTTTCACAGCTCGCGGCGCACCGAGTACAATTCGAGTTTCCGCTCAACGTATTCCGGCCAGAGTAGTGTTACCACACAGGGTGGTGCTAGATCACCGGGGGTATTAGCCCTGCCGCAACATGCTGCTTCAGCAGTGGTGGAGGGACAGTTACAGCTGCGTTATAGCGGCGGAAATGGGATCGCCGCGGGATATTGTCGAACTTGTTCGATTTTCATCACGCTGGAGATGATGCCATCGATGCAGGTTACTAATTGGGATGTACTACCAGCAGAAACGTAAGTATTTGTTAGTTTTTTATAAGAAAAGTTTAAGAAACATTGAGTTTTTCGCGTAGATCATCACAGTTTTACTTAGTTTTGGATGTGGCGAATCTCACATCACAAGAAATGGAGTTGCAATACACGCCCACGAAGCGTATGCTTGTCGAGGGGCATGAATCCTGCCGAATTCCAATTCCTGTTGATCGGTGTCCGCTGTCAAAACTTACCAAACTTTACATGGAGGATAATACTCTCGACGAACGCTTGGATTTAGATAAAATCTGCTCGGAGCACATCGCTAATCTAGTTGATCTTCAGTATAATCTTCCAGCGATTGACATCAAGGGCAAAGCCAGTCTAAAAGGGATCACATTGACCCCGAATATGTTAGATATCGTCCGGATGTCGCCACTTCACTGGGGTATAAAAAAAATCACAATTCAAACATAAATTTCTATAAATTTTGTCGTTTAGATGTTGCGGTTAATGGTTCACCTGTAAAGCCGCAAGAGGCGCTCAACTGCGAGGCAGGCGACTCTCTTTCGCTCAGTATACAAGTCTGCAACAGCCTAGAAAAACCTCTCAACAAACTGATCATGACCGTACAGTTCTACCAGGATTATCAAAATGGCGCATGCAACTACATGTTGGAGACACGACTTTCAGTCACAGGACCATCCAAGTAAAACACATCTTGATTCATTCCAGCTTCGTATATGTATTATAAATTAATCGTTTTATTGTTTAGAATATTCTTGCCGACACTAGCGCCGCAGAATTCGACGCAGCACGCGTGCAATGTGCTCTTCTTCACTCCAGGTCAGTATAAAATGGACATACAGGTAACTGCGCCCGATTCCGCCAACGTGGCGAGTCTAACGAACCATATATGGCGGTTTATTCCACCGGTGGAAATAAATGTCACCAGTTAAAGAGGCGATCAGAATAAATGCACATACCTTATACCTAACCTCATTCTTTTTCTATCAGTGTTGATTCCTTGCGTAATCGAGCAGAGTAAAGATTGAATTTTAAAAGAAAATTATCATCATCATGCATGCAAGTAAACATAAATCAGCGTCAATTGACAATTCTTTATTATATTGTAAAAATATACGAAAGAATTAACGTATTAATGCTAGTGGTTTAAATAAAATTAATATGGTACTGTCATGAGAGTGTTCTTAGGAAATATTCAGTCATGCATGCGCTAATACCTTGAAATCTTGCAATATAATAAAGAATTTCGACAATTTCTGCTCTCTTCGATTGCATTGCAACATTAATTCGGTCTAAAAATCCGTCATTGGTTTAAAATCAGATTACTTCATTAATAATACTAAGATAATTGAGTATTCAATGGTTTTCACGAGATGGAAACGATCGGTTTGCTTGAAAACAGTAACTTTTCGGTTTGCGAGTAATACCACTCTTGCTGCCTGATTTGGCAGGTAATGGCATTGATTTTCCTAAGGGAATCATTGTGCTGACAATAGCTGCATCCGCGATTTCAGCTCGCAGTCGTTTATGAAACGCTAGCACATCCGGATTGGCCCAGACCTGCGACGCTTTAAAATCGAGCACGCGCAGAGTATCTAAACTTTGCGCACGTGAAAGCGCCACGTAAGCTTGCCCAGCTTCAAACACACGTGCTAAAGACATTTCAACGCAGTCGAGTGTGAGTCCTTGCGATTTGTGGATGGAAAACGCCCATGCAAGTTTCAGCGGTACTTGTTTACGTGTAATTGTCGCACCGCCGGCGGTTTCATCGTCCATTTCTCAGGTTTAGCGAGGTATTCTTTCTTGTTACGGAAACGCACGAGTGGTAAACCCTCACGGAAACCGACGACAACGCCACGTGCGCCATTCACAAGCCCCATGGAAATGTTCACGTTTTTCAGAAGCATGACCTGCGCGTTTATCTTGAGAATAAGCTCAGCTGGCACCGGAGTTTGTTGATCGAGTTGTTTGCTTGAGTACTGGTCACTGTCCTGCGCTTTGAAGACTCTAGTCTCGCCTGAAAATCAACTCATAGCATAAAATAACAGTTTTGTGAGGTTTTAAGTTGAATTTGTACCTTTAAGTTCATTTAACTTGTTTTCGTTGATCAAATTCGCATCCTGCATGTGTGAACACAAGCGAGTTGCAAGAATACCGTTCTGTTCGATTTGTTGCTTGGATGTGGCAAGCAGGCGATCGCTGATTGAATCCGGGACATCACCAACACGGATTTGATTCAGAATACTGACGAATTCCGGGTCTTTCTGGCGGTGGACAATGCGTAACTCAAACACTCTCTGCACGCAATCATTCCAAGCCTTTGACTGGAAGCAAAACTTCTTCTCCTGCTTGAATTTTGTCACAGGAGGCAACTGTAGGAAATCCCCGCATAAAATCAACTGCAAACCACCGAATGGTTTGTCGTTTTTCCTTACATGTCGTGCGACTGCTTCAATTTTCTAAACACAAACAAAAAAACAAGTTAATAATTTAATAATTATGGAAATATTAAGACAAAACCTCAAAAAAGTTTGCATCCACCATGGATATTTCATCAATGATCAAATGTTTGCATTTTCTCCAAATTGAAGCAACAGATGGTTTTGAAGCCATTTGATAGGACCTATCAAGTGTAGCTTCACCACTGCCAATGCCAGCAAACTGATGCAGTGTTATCCCACCAATGTGACAAGCAGCCACACCAGTGGAAGCTGTTGCAGTGGTTACATCCGGAGGCAAAGCACCAATAATCTTCCGCAGCAAGTAACTTTTACCTGTGCCTGCACTCCCAGTGAAGAAAACATTCTGCCCACCTAGACAAGCCTGCAGCACTTCTTTCTGCTCATCGTTCAATGGATCACTTACTGTGAAAGCTTTTTTTGGACTAGGAGAGTGCCCATCTTGAAGCTTTCGTTTTCTACTCAAAGGTGAAGGTGTAGTATCAGTTGATTTTGATGTTTTTATATGTTTCAAATCCGCAACAGTCACTGGACTGATATCATCCAGTACTTTCGGTTGACTAGTCAACAGTTGTTCACGCAGGGACACTTTGGCGGTGTTGGTTTTCTTGTCGCCGGTCATTTTCACAAATAGCAGCTTTAAAAAGGTCGTTAGCTGGCCAGGCGGTGCGTTTGAAAGGAACACGGTACACTTTTGATCCTGAAACTTCATGGAAGTCTTACCTTCGTTCATGAATTTATTATGCACGGACATATTCTTGAGTGGAAACTTGAATGGTGCTAGTTTTTCGGCGGCAATCTCGAGGATCATCTGGCGGAATTCGTTGCGGCAGAGTCGAAGGGTTGCCTTCTTGTGCACGGCTTTCCTTTGGATGGCTCCTTGTGCATTCGCCCATTCTAAAGTCACCGAGCATATCACCGTGCTGTCGTTATCCATTTTCGATGAATTCTCCTCTTGTTACAAATATACCATCAACATTTTAACGACTTCAGCAAAATAACGTAACTGTTTCGACGAGTTGGCCAGGTTGAATCAGCTTGAATACTACACACGTTGCTAACGGTTAGAAGTGGCGCATGCGCAGCTTCGGTTCGACTCGGTTGTTACAAGGAGGGCGTCCGTGTCACTATTGCGCTTGTCTCATTCAAACAGTTGACGTTTCGTGCAGAACATGGACTCTTAAACTTTCGCGGATTTCTTAAAATTTCTTGTATATTTGAACATTGCAACACCTGAAAGTGCACAGTATAAATTACCGAAGTGATTTCAACTCACAGCAACTGTATTCAAAGGTATGTGCAATTACTACTAACTAAAAAACTGAACATAAAAACTTATGCTTCAACTAAAACTAAAAATTTAAAATGGCGGCATGCGGCATCCAATGTCATTTAATGAATCAATTTATTAACATTTCGTACACAAATATGTTTACATATATATATATAAGTAATATGTGTTTTGTATTAATACGTTCAATTTGGGCAGACTGTGCATCCAACAGAATTTCAGTCGTAAATTGTTCCGCGCATGTTACTGATCCGGCATTACTGATATATTATACTGGTTTAATTTGAAAGTATAGGCACAATTATTAATATTAATCTCTTAAGCATATCATCACCTCCGTGTTAGGTGTTAGTAGTTGATGAGTAGTGCGTTTAGATCTGTTGCACATTCGAAAAGTCGTAGCTATGCTGGTTAGCTCCGTGGTTAGTTGGAGGCGGCGGCGGCGGCTGCGCGCGGTCTATATCCTCGTAACTGGTCGCCCTCGGCGCCGCCGGAAATATGCCGCCTAGAAAGTCTACAAATGGCATAAGGTTTAGCATATCTCCGCACAACAAGAGAGCATCATCTACGAATTACTTGGTTCGTCGCCGCGCTCGCGCAGGATTTTCAGCATGTAGATGGTGGTGAAGGGCCGGGCGACAAGATGCAGGATTGCCAGCGCGGCGGAGAATCGTTCTGCAGCGCCTGCGAAAACAATAAATGTTTAAATTGGCCCTGTAAGCGTTCCATGAAGAATTTGATAAGGTATTGTTTACTGATTGAAATAAATCGTGCAATTTTATACTGTATACATAAACAAGCAATAACAAGCAAGCAACTTGATATTGTGAGAGTCATACCATAACTGTTTGGGTAACAGAATGCAAGGTAGAAGATATCCAATACGATTGAACAAATATTGACCATAAAAGCCTGCAAAATTGGTTTTTATTGAATAAAAATACAAAATAAAAATCAATCAATGACTTACCATTTGAATGGGTTCTGAAGATTGGATGTTATGCATGGACCACAGGATAAGTATAATCAGGATAAAGTTGTAGAATAAATATCCATTGGTGGCCCAATGGCCCATTGCACTCAATGCAATGAAAATGAAATGAGTGAAGAAAATCGCCTGGAAATTATTCAGATTTATTGCTTTATTAAATCCTGCTGATGATGTCTTGTATTGCTTGGTGTGGCATTACCTTTTGCGGAAAGTTGGGCACGGACGCGATGTCCATCGTCGTGACCGGCATTGTTGACTTGTTTGCTTGTTAGAGAATCGATGCGCACGATTTGCGTGATTCACATCCTCTGCGTAATACCGAAAAAACGCACAAATATATCAGCTGCACGTATTGGGTATCAACTGATAGCGCTTTGCCCAGTGTCTGGTGTGCTGAGCGAGCGATGATTGCACATCATGCTTGCGCAATCTGATTGCCAAGCCTGCTGGCATTCGTTCAATATCTTGTTTAGTTGGACACCCTTGTGACATAGGCAACGCAATATTCACGCTGATTTTGTTTCAGGAGTTTTGGATTGAAGTTAACTATGAAAATCTAAACATTCCACGATGGATGACAAAATTTTGCTGTGAAATCGACAAGGATTCAATTAAATTTGAATAAATGTAAAGTTTGATGAATTGTGAATTATAGACATGATGCCGGAGGAATACAACAACGTAAGTGTATTTTATGTTAATATTTGTATAAATATTAAATAATTTATTAGAATTTAGCGTTTTTTGTGTCTGTTTTTTATTATTACACAATTTTAAGTACAAAGACACAATTTACATGAAAACATCTTGCAATACGTGAAGATAACACACTTTGTGTACGGTTGATACGAAAAAACGCACGCGGTTGGATTAATTGAAGTATTTCTGAAGAAATTGATTGGAGCTAATAGTTTTTTGCCGATGTTTAAATATTTTTTGACATTTTATATCTGAAGATTCGTGATGGTAACGAAATCGCACGAGCCGCATACCCAATGTCCGACGATGACATGTTTCGAGTGCAATTTGGTAAAGAACGCTAAAACAGTGTTGGGCAATTTTGATTTCTCATGCGAATTGGAATAAATTGCGGCGCCGTGCGTTATCCACTCCGCACCGATAGTACATTCTGACGCGAGTGCGCCAGTAGAGTACGCAGTCGGTTGGCGTAGCGCGGGGCCCGTGGCAAACGGCGCGCTCTCCACGTACAAAACCACCTCTCGCGAAATTCGCACGCTGCTCGCATTCGGACTTCGGTGTGTCGCAACCCGCCTGACGTCCCCGTCTCTCGCCGCCGCCGCCGTATCCGCGAACACGACACCCACGACGTCGGTGAACGGCACGCCGCTCTCGCCAGTTCGCCGCCCGCTGGGAGGTTAATGCTACAACGTGCTCGTGTTGCCCAGTGTTCAGCTCGTTCTCTTCTCCGATTCAGCGCAAACGGAAATCCGGCGCGCTCGAGTCGATGGCGAAGAAAAAGCGACAAGATGAGCCGTCCACAGGCAACTCGGACGGATCGTCCGAGAGCTCCGAGGATCTCCGCAATACATTCTCCGAATGTGCGCACGTCAACAAGTCGGTGGACCTCGGTCGCGTGAAGCGATACATGCAGCTGAACGCGCCGCCAATTCGCAGCCAGTGCGAAATGTGTAAGCCCAGTCCGCAGGATGAGCCAGCAGCTGGTTCCAGTGCGGATTTGGCACCCGAGGCATCATCACCTATGGACGAGGTGAACGAGTACTCCTTCGAGATAGACGACTCGCTGTGGCTGTGCCTAAAATGCGGCAATCAGGCGTGCGGCCGCTACAAGAACAAGCATGCGCTGCAACACTTCAATACGCCGCATTCCGACCCGCACAGCATCTGCCTGAACACCACCAAGTGGACGGTGTGGTGCTATCGCTGTGACAATGAGATCAATGTCAGCGGCAAGAAGAAGCTGCACGAGTGTGTTGAGTATATCAAGAAGTTTTCTGAGGGCGGGAAGTCACTCAAATCCAATCCTAATAATATTAAAGACATTCGGGTGAGTTTCAGCACACAATACACAAACAATCAAACACTGCCGGTTGTAGATTTTCATTTGTAATTTAATTTGTTTATTTAATTCATATTTATTCTATAAAATTATTTTTTTTATTTCCAGGGTGTGCTGCTTGAAGCCCAGGCAGCTATGTCCATTATAGCACACAATCACCGCTCGGAGTTTGTTGCGCGGGGTCTGAGTAACCTGGGCAACACCTGCTTTTTCAACTCAGTTATGCAGTGCCTCGGCCACACTCCGTATTTCCTCGAGTTGCTCGAGGAGACTGCTGTGGCCGGGCAGAAATTCAAGCTGCCGGGTGGGAAAGTAGTGCTTGACAGTAAATTGAAAACGACAAAAGTTTTGGCTCCGTTGGAAGGTAATTAATGCACTTTTTCGCAATTACATTATCACCGAAAATCGCTATTTATAAATATTGATAAGATTATAACGTGCGCGTTTTTAGGTACTTTGGAAGAATGGAAGCCGCTGACTCACGCGCTGGCGAACACCATCGGGGAACTACAAAGTGGGAGTCACATTACATTCAACCCCAGCATTCTTTTCAACTGTCTAACTCAACGTATGACGATGTTCAGCGGTGGTAACCAGCATGATTCGCACGAATTACTGCGTCATTTATTAGATGCAGTGCGTGAGGAAGACTTGCGTCGCTATCAAAGCGTTATCTTAAAGCATCTAGGCTTTAGCACGAAGACAGACCCTGCGACAGTCGAAGGCGAAAAGCGTGCGATTATACGTTTCTATGGCGGACAAGCTTCGGAGCTTTTACTGCCTACGGAGCAAGTTTTCCGCGGCGTGCTTGTTTCTACGCTTAAATGTCAGGACTGCGGCCACACTTCACATCGCGAGGAGTACTTTCTGGACCTTAGTTTGCCGATCTCCGAAAAACTACGCCCGCCAGTCCTGCGTCGTAAGGCTGAGGATTCCGACGATCACAAACCGTCCAAGCATCAGGTGAAAAAGGAACGCCGCGCGATGCGGAAGGCCAACAAACGCGGTTATGGACTTTCTTCGTCTTCAAGCAACGTTGTCATTCAAGAGTTTGATTCCAACGGTGACGCGCCGATGGAATCGGAAAACAACGATAAATCCGACAGTCAGTCCGATGCTGACGTGGAGGATAACATCGAAGACTCGACGAATTCACGCACACCTGAGGAAGTGAGTAAAATGCCCGGGTCTGAATCCGGGTACAATTCGGATAAGACTAGTCCGGATAATGCGGAGAACGCTGCGAGCCCAGCTGTGGGAATGTTGAGCGCATCGTCTTTCACTCCGGACAGTCCTGCTACTAGCCCTGCAAGCTGTGAGACTAATATTGATTTGAGTCCTGCGTGTGGACAAAATTCTCCTACTGAAGAGTAAGTTTTACAAAGTAAAAAATGATTATTTTTGATTTTATTATTGTTTTTCTAGTGGTAATGAAGAAATAGAACGACCTGGTAGTAGGCTGGCGTTTGTCGGGAATAAAAATAACGATTTAAAAGCAGATTTGGCCAAACTTTCGATTAAAAACGGTAAGAAACCTGATGGTGCGTATGGCGGTGCTCCTTCCGATGATGATTTACTCCTTGCGACTGATAATGGAGATCAGGTTTGTGTTTTAATCAAAATATTTATACATAAATGCAGTAATTTTTATTATGCGCAGATGGAAGTTGATGATGTCGACATGTACAGTGGGACAATCTCAATCCCTAACATTGAAGAAGGCGAATGCTCGGTGCAGTCGTGCCTAAACCAATTCACCGCCTCGGAGCTGATGACTGCAAACAACAAAGTCGGCTGCGAGTTGTGCACCAAGCGACATGGCGGCCCCGATAAGAAAACCGTGCTCACCAACGCCACCAAGCAGCTGCTCATCTACATCCCACCGGCGGTGCTCATCCTGCACTTGAAACGCTTCCAGGTCTATCACTTCCGTCCGTCGAAGATCACCAAGACTGTCAAGTTCCCGTGATACTGGACATCGCTCCGTTCTGCTCAAAACGCGCCCGCCAGCTACCAACGTTCGCGCCCGATCAGAAACAGGTGCTGTATTCGTTGTACGGCGTTGTGGAACACAGCGGTTCCATTAATGGCGGGCATTACGTGGCGTATGTCAAAGTCCGCGCTAAAATCGCTGAGGATAACTACCGATGGCACTTTTTACCGAAGAACCATCGCAATCAGGTGAATAAAGTCGTCACCGAGACCACCAGTAACGGAAAGTGGTACTACGTGAGCGATTCGCACTCCGCCGAGGTAAAAGAGGAGCGCGTGCTCAATGCATCCGCCTATCTACTTTTCTACGAGCGTGTCCTGTAACGCACGAGCGCCTATTATCATTTCATCGCGATTGTATGTATGTTCTCCGATTCATTTCCAACACACACACACGTTTTTGACATTTTTAACGTTTGCGTACCACTCGTGTCTCCGACACCGGCGAAGAGGGCGGTTTCTTTTATTGCACATTTCGAGCCGAGAGCCACCAGCTAATAATTGAAATTATGCGCGTGCTCTTGCAATAATACGTACTGGCGCAAGCGGACAACGGGTATTTAGAAATTTGATAATAACTTATTATATAAGGCGGGGCTGAAATGGGTGTTAATCAAGTTCGATTTGTGATCGCGTTTATTGCGTAGATAATGATGAGAGAAGAAAGACGATTGCGAGTGGTGTTGAATATTTCAGATTATAAATAATTCGGAATAAAATGATGCAAAACATTCAAAATGGTGATTGTGAATGCGAGTTTTAAAAGCAAAACAGTAAATTGTTTGTGAAATTTACTATAAACATCTTCTATGGTGGGCGACCCGCAAATAGTGGTGGGGGTAAGAAGTACAAATGCACATGTGTTTGTCAAATAACCTCTGACTCCAGAATCCTACTATATTATATAAATATTCTGTACAACTCTCTTAAAATTACAACTTGAACTTATCATAGAATCAAGCAAATCGGGTCCCCGAAGTTCCCCAAAATTTCAATTTAAAACAACGCGGTTTACAAAAATACCAATTGACTTGAAGCGTCGTTGCATTCATAGCATTTACTCTTATAAAATATTGCTTCTGTGTTAATCTAAAATGTAATGGTAAAAATTGCGGCTGCGGGCAGACAAACACAGCTTACAAAATGATCTCACAGCCCTGGTTGACGTGCTCGAGCACCTCCACCTTCAACGAGTTCACCTGGTCGCGCATCTGCGTGATCATACCGGCAAGATCCGTATTCTCCGCCTTCAGCAGCTTCACCTTATCCTCCAGCTTCGATATGCGTTCGAGTTTGCGGCTGCGGCACTTGCTCGCCGCGAGACGATTGCGCATTCGCTTGCGCTCCAACTTAATGCGTTCCTGATGCTCCATATCGACGGGAGACATCGGCGGACTGGACTGCGTGTTGGGCACAGTCTGCGGCTCCTCCTTGATGATGGTCGGGACAAAACCGCCGCCCGCTGGCTGCTCCATGTCTGTATACACAGTACTATTTGAGTCTGACGTCGACGCTACAAAACAATCTGACTTTAAGCGTAAAATAAAGCGTTTTTTCAGCGGCTGCTTACCTTGTGAACTGCTGTTGTGCAGATTGTTCAACGCGTTGACGAAGCCAGCGGAGAAGTTCTCCTGCTCCTCGGTGACCGAGCGCGGAAACAGGATGGCATTTGGATTCCCCTGCGAGGGCGTGGGTGTAGACAGCGGGTTTTGACCCAGGATGAAATCATTCAGCTCGGGTGTGCCCACTTTGAGGATCTGCAGGTCCGGAGAGGAGAGCACCGGCCCAATATCAAGATTTTTCTTCGTCTGGTTGAAGTCCAGGCTAAGAGGGCGCTTGATTCCACTCATGTTGATTAATTATTGATGTAAAGTGACCAGCCGAACCAAGACCACAAGTCGAAGAAGAGCTTCACAGGCACCACGATCAGAAAGAGCAGGTAGTAATAGGTGCAGTCACCTATTTCCATTTAAATCCTGTACGCACGCAAAAAACAAACACACACGCCTAATGAAACAACATTAATGCGCACAAAACAAACATTGTTTGCTTACCTTGACGGCCGCGGTGCGAGAACCGATTTGTTTGTCGCGTTTGAAATTTGTGCGAAGAAGGCGGGTGTGTTACTCGGCGTTAAAAGTCGCGCTGCTGACTGGCAAGTCGAGGCGAATACGACTACGCTTTGTGCGGCGGCTCTGGCGTAATCGCGCGCGCGGGGACGAACCTTTCTCCTGCTTTGTTCTCTTCTAGAAGCGTTCGAGGCGGTGCGCGCCTTAACACGCAGCAGGCCAGCAGCGCGTTGGAATTATCAGTAATTGACGGTATGAGTCACGCGCTTCATGGAAATGCCACCTGCATGACGTCATTTGACACAAAAACAATGTGATATCTTGCATAGCACAAGGATCCTCCTCGTGGGCATCGACCAAACACGTATTATCTAAATAAAGCATGGTTTGGTACGTATATGATCCAAGCGTGGAGTGTCTCTGCATTGTGCTGCCTGCGGGCGCACAAGCGAACTAAGTTACACTTTGAGTGACTTGTTATCAAATTTCATCCAGCGTGCATTCTGTTTACATAACATTCACTACGGCTGGCAGACAAGAAGACATGTTTTATTTTAAAAGCATATCCGAGTTGTATTTTGTGAGGTGGCGTGCGATTTGGGCGAATGCGAGAAATGGCGGACGGGCCGACGCTTGAGATGGTCGAGATTGGGCGATTTTAATGTAAGAAACGAGTGCGCGGGTTACAATTAAACTAAACAAAGAACATTTATATTCGTCAGTGGGCGCGCGCGGGGCGGTGATAAAAAGCGCACACGATAGTTGCGAGCGCGTCCGGCTCCGGCCGATGGCAACCGAACTCGGTGCGGCGCAGCAGATCAGAACGCCGAACGCAGCGACGGCGAGCAAGACCCATGCGTACAACGCCGCCGAACGCCGCGAATGTGCCCCGTGTGGTGTAGAAGCGAGTGTGGACCGTTCCGTGTTGAGTGTGCTGCTCTGCCAGCGCCAGCCATCCCGTTCAGTGAGTGATAATGTCGGCGACGAATCGCCGTCGCAACGCCGCCAGCGCCTAGCTCCTTCGCTCGTCGCTCACTAAACCGCCGGAGAGCGCACCAGCTAGCGTTATTATCCGCGTTATCTCTCGCGGTGTGCACGCACGGGAGGCATCTTTTTTTGTTTTTGTTATCGCTTTGTGTGCCGTGTGCGTGCGTCTCCGCGGTGGCTGTGTGCGTGCGGCGCGACTCGCCATCCAGTGCCTCCTACGTGCGGGCGCGTGTGCGTCGTGCTCCGTCCACCGAAAATGTGCAGCACCAACGCCGTCGTCGGCGCGGTGGTGCCGCCGACGTTCTACGACGTCTGCCGTCTTTGTCTGTCGGTGCCCGCCGCCGACGACGCCGCGGCCGCGCCGAGGATATCGGTGTTTGCCGTCGACGATGCGGCCGCGGCGGCTCACCACACGACGCCGAAGGTGCCAATCTCCAAGAAGATCATGACGTGTCTGTCTATTATGGTGAGTGATTCATGGGGCGCACAACCGCCGCTGCCGCACATGGTGTGTCGGCGATCATTTTAATTCGCCTGCACGTATGCAGCATGAGAGTTGAGTTGTGCTGGTGCTCTTCATTGAACAAAAGCGGCGCCGCTGGGCGCCGCCGCGTCAATGCGCTAATGAGCTGGAAGTCATTTCTCTCGATTCGAATTTGTCCGGTACGCATTCACAAATGATGTTGCCTCAATATGTTGCGCCAGATTTATGCAACATCCGCTGTTGGCCGTGTCCGTCCGCCGTTCGCGCGACGCGCCGCACTTCGTTGATCTTCGTATTTTTCGAACCTCTCTGCAAAGGGAAGCAGCAACAAAACAACGACGTACGGCGTACGGACGACGCTTATTTTCGATCTTGTCTGGTCTCGCACATCACGATTTCATTCCATTTATTTCTGTTTTGTCTATCTATCCGCGCGATGCTCTGCGCGAGCGACTTCTGGATTCTCTCACGTTGTTTTTGTTTGTGGGCAATAATATTTTTGTGTGTAAATTTAGCTCTCCGCGCTTCGATTGCGTATCTCGTATCAGCGCTCGCGCGCGCTCTTCATGTGCGTCGTCGTCGTCGTGGTGAACTCCGCCGTACGCACTATGGGCGTAAATGTGGTCGGTCGACGGCGTTCGAGAGTTATTTCGGGACTTTTACTACGTTTGTGGCGTTCTCGATGCACTACCAGTCTGCTGGCTTTCCTGCACTTCGTCCGCATGCTGGAAAATCCCGCAATCTTTACCTGCGCGCATCAAATCTCGCCACCGAATTTTTGCGGACACTTGTTGTGTGCGCCGGGGCACTTGCCGCGTACTTGTCTATTGTCATGCAAAGCGTGTCTAACCAGAAAAGAACCCTTTGTTTGCTAGAGACTACCCAGGTGGACGTGAATTCTTCTCATTCTTCACGCACACTCACTACCTGTCCGTGTTTCGCTACATTGTTCGACGTCGCCGCCGGTCGAGTTTTACAACTTCTCGCCCAGATTCATTTTTCTCGCAATGCCCGATCATAAACCATACATACATAAATCAATCAAATGCGCTTCGGCCTTATTTATTGTCTCGACGCTGCCGCTTTTTGAATCCGCGCGCGCCGTGTTTATCTTTCAGTCGAACATCATCGCATACGCCGCATGTGCATGCGCTACTAATATTCATTAGGCGTTCGGTGTTTGTTTTTTCCTTCCTCTCGGCGTCGTTTTTGTCTGTCTGCCGCGCGCAAGCAAACACACAGACCGACCATCTGTGGTCTATTTACCTGCTGTCGTTTCTCGTCTCAGTCTCGGCTCGCTTGCCTTCTTATTCTTCCGTCTTTCCAGCTTTTCATCCTCTCTCTAGCCTGCGTTTCGGGGCTTCTTCAGTGCACCCGGCGTGTCCAAATATTATAACTTCAATACTAATATTTGAAAATGCGTAGAAAAATTCCGCTACTATTTCATGCATAAATGTGTGTTCGGCTGCTCGGGGGGCTTAGGTTTCCGCTTGCCGTCTTGTGCTTCGAGTCGGTTTCGAAAACATGTTGTTATTTTCCGAACCGAAGAGATCGGTTCTTGGGCGTCCCATGCGTCTGATGGCATGATGAAACGTGCATTCGCGTCGCCGGCGCGCGCATCGCATGCGAGCGAGCGCATCCGACGTCTCTTTGTGTTTGTTTTCCATTCATTTATTCATTCATTCATTCAATCCACGGATCCTCGCGACTCGCATGTTGCAGCATCCGACAGCCAACGCTACTGCTGCCCAGGCGAACGCTGCTCGCGTTTATACAACTTGTAGGAAACTAAAATTCAAAATTTTCTTTCCATCGCGATGATTTTAAACATACTGCATTCTGAAATCATATCGCGCGACCAGTGAGCGCAAGTGAAATGCGCTGGGTTACTAAATAAAGATTTCGAGTTGAATGCGTGTGCGTTATTTCTCCATCGCCGATGCCGATCGTGGCGCGTTGATAACGGGCGCCGAATCGAGGGCGCCGTGAAACGCTATCTGGCTGCTGGCAGAGCGGCCAGCAACAGCTCATGGGAAAGAGACGCTCGCGAAGGAGCTAAAAATGATACTGAAGTGGGGCTTGGATTTCGTCGTGCCTGTGTGCCCGCGATGCGATGAAGCAAGAGCAGCGCGCCGTGAGCGCTAGAATATTTAACATCAACATAGCATCAGCTTACCTACTACTACGCTATCTTAACGATATGCGTGGTGATTCTTTTTCTCTCTGTCCGCGCGGTGAGAAAATTGTGTTTACACGAATTAATAAACACGACCTCTGCCCAGGAAATCTTCGTCAAAAGTATCAATTACGTCCGATGACATTTTCCGCCTCGTGTTCAATGCGCATTTGGTATTTGCCTCTATCTCGAAGCAATATTTCCGCTCATAACAAATATCATTAAACCATCGCATGCACCTGTGACGGGCGTCTGCAGTCTAGACGCGCGTTTTTGTTCGCCGGCTGTGTGTGTATGTATGATTCGTTTGTTATTTTTTGTTGTTCCGCATCGATTGTCTTTTTTGCGCTCGTTGATTCGCAATCCGTCGGTCGTCGTTGTTTGGCAACCTATCACAACATATTGGGACATTCGTTGGCGGTGTCAATACACCTGACTACACTAGTCCAAAACCGCGTCTCGCCGTCCCAGAGAGAGCCGTCAACAATTTTTTTCCACCACCGATTAGATGTTTATTTTCCAGCAAGTAATTAATCGTGTGATACGCCGATTGTTTACCGGCTAATATTTCGAGGCGCTGCAATCGCATGGTTCAGTCAGTGCCCTCTATGTTTGCAGTAATCGCGCGCGATTAGCGTTTTTCGGCGCGCTGGCCATTTAAACGTAATCAATCCGTGACGAGCCGTATGCGAGATATAAATATTAAACAAAACATACGCAGGTTTCAAGGATACGTTAAGTAAAGCAGCGATACGAAAACTGGTTTCACAATCAGTTTCTATCTCTCTGCGCTATATAGCGCGCGCGCCGCATTATCTGTTTGTGTTGGTGCCTTGCCCGGCCGACGAAATATAATAAAACATTATTAAAATCCCCGGACGCATACACACGCGCGCGCCGTGATCCACGTACCGCATTATCATAAGCGTATGCAAGTATTTTATCAATATGTATGCGTATGCTTTTAACTCTCCCAAGCCGTCTTCGACGGTGCGGCGGCTCCGCGTCCGTGGTTGTGGTCGCGGTCGACGAAGTAAGCAGCGGAGACAAAAGAAAAGAAAGATAACTATATAAAGACGTACACGTAATGTTTGTAATTTGTGCGTCCTACACGTTATTTCGGTGTGTGTTGCTCACCGCGCGCGCGCTGCCTGACTTCACTGAGTCTGCGCGCGCGCGTTTTTCCTTCTAGAAGATGTCTCCGAATCGCACCGCCGCCGATAATGCTGATTAGACGCGTCGGTCGGGGTGATGGCTTGCACGCTAAAATTTCTCGATTTCTAGGAAGCGCATTTGCGTAACGCTGGTCAACACCGTCACCAACACCGCGCACGTTTCCAATGTATTATTCTCTCACACACCGTGAATGTAAATAAATTTCGACTGGAAAACTCAATGAGTCTCCTCCAGTCTCTGAGCATCTGACGGCATGCGAATGATTCACACTGTCTATAATCTCCATCGATCTGTTTACGCAATGTTATGTGTTAGTTTTCAACATTTGCGAATCATATTTTTACACTGGCGCAACACAATCAAGCATTTGTCATTTGTAATGCATGCTGAAATAATCTACAAGTCAAAGAATTCATTTTTTTTTCTATGTTTGATTGATGAACATACATAAAATGCGAATGTTTTTTAATGCATGCTGAAACCAAAAATAGTCATGAATGCTTATTTTCAATTTCGCTATTGAGTAATTATTTATCGTCATTGTCATGCTTTCCATTATCTATTCTCGTCTTGATGTGTGTTTCGTCAGCGCCGCCGCAAGGAAAACTTGTTTGATAAATCCGCGCGCGCGTCGTGTTGTCAGATTCGCTTCTTTGTGCGGCAAAGAGAGGAAGTCGTTCGATGAAGTACGCACCGCCACAACTCAAACTCTTTTATCGATCAGATTTGTTACGTTTTTACGAGAGCGTCGGGCCATCTATTCATCGAAAAATCATGTTGATACCTGTTCGGCCGGCTTAATTGCGCCGGCGTAATTAAATAACGCGCGGCGGCGTTTTAAGGTTTACGGCTCATGCATCGGCTTTACGAGATTGTTAGCGACCGCTTACGCTAAACGCACGCAGGTAATTGTAATGTGGGAATTGGATTAATTAAAAGAATTGCCCCATCCATCAATTATCAATTCAAGTCGAAATTTTGCCGTTGTGTTCGTTCTCAGCGCGCGCGCGCTTTCCTTCATTCATTCATTCATTCAAATTCATTCATTCATTCGGCTTCGAAGGTGCTTATTCTGGTTCGGTTGAATTTTTTTTTGTTAATTTCATAATTATTCTTTTATAACGTGCAAAGGTTCATTATAAAGCGCGTTTTAATTATTAATTATGAAGGCAGAGTGACGCATCACTTCGTCAGTGTGAAGAATTGTACGAATGTTTCCTATTGCGTCTCTGGGGAGTGATTATCTCTTAGTTTTGGGTGCTTTGTAACGAAATTTCAACTCGAGCGGTGTTTTCTTGTATCGGATCGGTGGCTTTATTGCCATTATACGATTACGTGGATTACAAACAGCGCTGCTGCCTGCTGCCATACATCCGTGCGAGTATCGTTATCGCGCCGTTCTTTACTCGTCGTCGTTGTTTTTTTTTTCGCTTCTTTCTGCTTCGCCGTTGCCGTTTGTTGCTATATGGCGGCCATCGCCGGGCGCGTTTCTCGTGTTCGGTTCCGTTCATTCGCTTCCATCCGTTGCTTACGACGGCGCGGTTCAGACATGCGCTATTTGCGCGAGCAAATGCATCGAGCCGCCGCGGCTCGCTTGTAACCACCGCGCGCACACGAACGTTTTCTTTTGTGGCGAATCCGCCGAAGAGAGCACCTGTAGGTTTTGTTGTTGTTGTGTTGGTTTGGCAAATAGGGCTATCCGGAGAGCCGCACCACCTTCACGCCAACGTCAACAAACTGACGAAGCGCTATCACACCGAGCGGACGCGCGTAATACACGCGTAATGTCGAACGCTGGCTGCTTGGTGTTGGGCACGAAGTTTTCGTGTGAAAACCAGCGGAGCGGCACTAGTGCTACGGCCGCGCTCATGATTAACAAACATTGCCCGAGCGTCTTCAACCAGAATACACCAAATTATCACAAAAAAAAAAACAACTGAGAGCTCTGTCAGTGCCACCGATTTTTTTCTTCCTGCTTCTAAAGTCATGCATGTGTTGCTGTACAACACCCGAATATATAACTTAATTAAATTAATTGCCACAGAGCGTTAGTGTTGTTGCATTGTTTGCTTCACTTTATTCATTGCTTTGTTCAAACACCATTATGTGCCAAATCCACGCACACATCCACCAACCATTCAAATCCGAAACTTTCTTTTCGCGTTCTACGTTGCGATTCATTTCTTATCGTTATCGTCGCGCGCGAACAATCAATTTCTCTCTCGCCATTCTGCGATTACTTCAGACTCGGAATATTTAAAATACGTATGGATGTGAAGCAATCGGTGAGGTTGATCCGAGCGTTGAAGCATCGCCGGAGACGTTAATCGCGGGCCGGAAACACTTTCTAACCGCACTTGTTATCCGAGTTATCTAAGGTATCACCGTGCTTCGGGCGAGTTGTACAATGAGTTATTAGTTACGACGTGCGATTCATATAGGGTGTATTCAAATTGAACGCGCATCGGGCGTGAATCGCGTTTGCCACGCTCGATATAAAGCAAAATATGAGTTGACTTCAAAGAAAACAGAATATCGGTCTTGCCAAATCGGAAACTCCCATGAGAAACACATCAATGCGGCAGGTTTAGGCTTAAGAAGAAAAAAACGAGTTGAATTTGTGCTATAAAAGCATACAGACTGACAAAAAGAGGAAATTAAGAAATCGGTACGCAAAATTGAAGAAATTAATATATAGTTGTTTATCAGATACATCAGAGCGTAGAAAATGCGTGAAATTACGAATTGTATCCATCGGTTACGTCTTCAAATTTGACATACAAAATCGCCACGTTTGCGATCAGTTTTATTCACGCAGCGTCGATAAATCACGGTCCAAGCGCCCTGCGCTGCGCCGTTCATGGGAATTTCGCGGTGCGCAACGCGTAATAAACCCATTTAAACAAACGCAAATGTGCAATAGAGAAACATAATGCACACGACATGGCGCGAAACGCAGGCGTAAACGCAAAATCGAATGAAATAATTAACGATGTAAGTTGGAAATTGAAAGTTGATGTTGGAAGGTGGAAGATAAAGGAATAGCGCGCTGATGCATGCGCACCGACCGCGGCGAAATAAACGAACGCAAAGTAAAGCAAACGTAATTTATATACGTACCGCATAATATTGTAAACTTTCTAAAAAGAATAATTAAATTTAACGTGCGCGCGCGCGCTCCGGCGGGCTCGCGAGTAGACATAGTTCAGAGTACAGTCAACAACAGTCAGTCAGTCAGTCGGAGAGTCTGGCTTCTAAATCTCATTACCAGTAATGAATTCGCACCGCCGAATCTGGTAGCGGTTTCCGATCTTTTTTATTATAATGCAAGCGCGCGCGCGCGCACACCGAGGCAATTATCGCATCACAATAGTTGGGTTCTCGTTGCGGGATGAAAACTCGTGATAAATCATCGGCCGGCTCGTTGAAACTGTTTCGTTTCGAATCGACGATGTCGCCGCTTACGCAACGGCGGCCAACTTTAAACTTTATCTGTTTCGTTCTGGTCTAGTCTACTTCGCTTTGTTCGCCATCGCCGGCGCTGTTGTGCAAAATATTGCTACGTTTCCATGGCAATTCAATCCTTTATCTATGCGCTGGTGTGTGCGAACGAACGGCGCTGCCGTCTTAACAAGCTCTCGCGCTCGCTGCGCGCGTATTGCGGCTTCGAAGGCACATAATGCTTGTATTAATGATTTCGTCGCGGTTGCCATCGTTATCGGCTTAAAGAATGAATGGAGCAGCAGCGGCGGCGGCTGAGTTGCGAAATGTGCAAATTACATTTTTTGTTTGTTTGTCGCGATTGATCATTCGCAGCGTATCAATTCGTTCGCGCGGAATGCGTTCGCATGGGAAACGAACTTTTCCCGATGCAGCAACCAACCCCAAATATCTTCACGTTATTATACGCTCGAATTCGCGATGTGAATGCGTCTCGGTGTGTGTGTGTGTGTGCTGTTACACTTTGCGTTTATTTACTGGCGGCCGACTATTTGCGTTGCGAGAATGCTCCAGGTCGATTCTTCGTCGATTTCTCACAGCGGCGCGTTGCTCGTTACTCGATTCACAATCGGTGCGATTGCCAAATCCGCATCGGCCGCTCGACGCGCCGATTCGAGCGATAGATTAGAATGATTTAGCACTGGCGTGGACGTACGCCGAAAAATCGACTATCGTATTGTCGAATCGATTCATTTTCGAGCGGGAAACGAGCGCGCACAAAAAAGCGTCGTAACGAGAGACGAAATTGTTTCGGAACGAGCGCGACTTTTACGCTAATCGTTGCGAAACCATTCGCGGACTTTCGTTTTTTCCACATCATCATCATCATCATCGGCGATCGTCATCAATTATAATTGTATCATATCGCAATTTATTACCTATTGCCAACGAAGATGTAAAAATTTCGTTGTTGTGATATCCAACTCTATCACAATTCCGCTGCCAATTGAGGGGACGTGAACCGCCGTGAAGTTGTGCGCGGATAAAAATAGTCCATTGCACAATTGTAATTGAACTGATGTGGTTAACGAAGCTCACGATGCGAGAAGATTGTGGTAACCGTTGCGCATATTTTGGATGTCCGCCGATGGTGCAGGGCGCATTTTTAACGTTCTTCTGATTGTGTTATAGGTTTCCGAACGTGACCAGTTACCTCATGTCGTGTGCACGGAGTGCTACGAAAAATTAGACGCGTTCTATGACTTCAAAGAGAGGGCTAGTCGGGTGGACGAGGAGCTTGTTGCGTACATCACACAGACACGTACTTGCACTGGAACGCAACAGGTAAATATCATCAAAAATGCAAATTTAAAGTTGAAAATTTATTCTGAATAAAAAACATTCCTACTGAATTTTTAACTATATTAACATCTATCTAGTAATAAAAGTATGAAATTTAAGAACGTTTACGTTCGGGGAATAATAGGCGCGTATGTGACTGAAGTAGCAAAACCGTAGTTCCTCTGATTCCTGTAGCACTTCACGTATCCCAGCCAGGCGGCGATGAACAGGCAGATAATTAGCAAGATGCTCGTCGAGAGCAGCACCATACGCATGATTCTCTCCGTCGATGCAATGTGGGAGTACGTCCCCAAGTACTCATCCTGCAAACATATTAATTAATTTCGGGCGTGGAGAGTTCAACATTCATCGTTGTCATCTCTCACACACACAAACAGAGAGACACTTACGTGCTCGAAGCAAATCTCTTCGGTCAGACTGTACATCTTATATTGTTTGTATCGCTTGTAATCGAAGCAATAGGCAGCGTCGCGGTCGCGTTTGACGACGTCCTGCAATTGCGCTGTGATATTATGCAGGTCGCACGTGCAGTACAACTGATTGCCGCGTAAGTCGAGCGTTGTCAACTGCGACCAGTCGAGGAACTCCTTCGGGATCAGCTCCAGATCGGAATTACTCATGTTTAACTGAAATTTTATCAATTTAGTTTAGTTTAGTTTAGTTGTTTTTTTGTGGTAAATTTATACGTACTTCACGTAGAGATGTGTTGAAGACATGATCGGAGAGTATAACATTCGATGGCATGCCAGAGAGGTCAATTTTTTGTAAATTTGGTAGCGCACCAAATGCGTTGGGTTTAATTTCATTCAGTTGGGAAAGATTCGACGCGTAGAGCTCCGTCAGGACATCCATACCGACAAAATCGGCGTCGCGGATTTCTACAATCGGGTTGCCATCAACCCGTAGAATTTTTAAAGTTTTTGACACGTCTTGGACCACATAAGGGATGAAACTCAAGTCATTATAGGATATGTCCAAGATATGCAGAGTTTTCAACTCGTTAAAACCGGTGTTGTTCAAGTGGATCAATCGGTTGCTCGCTAAGTTTAAATTCTACAAAATAAAATTATTTATTTATTGTTTGTTTAGTGTTTAATATCACCTCGAGTTTTGGTAGTTTCTGGAAACTGAGATAGGTCAATTGATCGATGATTCGAAACCGATTGCCACTCAAATCCAAAGACCTCAACTCCAGCAAATGCTCGAAAACGTTCTTCCCGATCGTGTGCAATTCGTTGTGCGCTAGATTGAGCGTGCGCAGGGCGATAGGCTCGTAGAGATTATCATCGTATGGGCCTCGGAAAACATCCGTTATCAGCACATCGCCTACAGAGAGCGCACAGAGCAAATCGGTTTTAGTGGAATAGTTTGGCAAACGCAATTGATTAAAAACGGTTCCTGTTCCTTCGGGCGGCTCGCGCCTGCGTGCATTTTATCGCCCGCACGAATCGCCAAAAATATTTACGCCGCGTGATAATTTTAAATATGACTCACTCTTAATCTTATTATAACTCAAATCCAGCGAGGTGACATTTATGCAGTTTGCGAACAGGCCACTATCAAGCTGCTCGATGCTGTTGTGCGTGTAGTAGACTGTCACCTCGGCGCTCGTCTCCGGCAGCGGCTTCAAGCGCACCAGCGCGTTCTTATTGAAATGGGCGACAATGCGGGTGATGTTCGGCGGGCTGGCGTCCTCGGGCCAGTTGGCGAGGGTGTTCGTCATCTGTTGCGAGGTGCAGTCGAGGATAAACGTGGTCGCGCGCGTTTGACACTTGCAACGTTCACAGAGATGCGCGGAACTTTCATAGCTAATATCACCCGCTGCCAGGATGAAATTCACAGCGAAAATTGCGCAGAAAAACGCGGTTTTTAGGCGTTTTTCGGACATTTTTTAAATAAAAAAAGAATACAGTCGAGGCGTTACGTGTGTATAGATACTTTACGCGCAACTAACGCGTTGCGCTATCACACCTCAGTGTTTATCTGCTGTTATCTGCCTTGTTATCACATTTATTTCATTGCTAATAACTTATGATGATTAACTGCTAGAGGGTCCATGGTTTATCCAACTCCAACTCCTGTCCGTGTTAAATTAGTCAGCACGTTGAATTTCTTTGAAGTTATTGATAACGCGGATGTAATTGAATCCTACTGGCTGATACGGACGAACTGCGGAATAAACTAAAATGAAACTTTCAACAAACAAGGCCGATCCGAATGGAATCCGACTAAACCTGACCATGTGCACTTTTCTAGGAAAAACTCAAGCAATCAACGATATTATTAGACGAAATGCTAACGCGGCGAAAATCTCCCAAGAATCTCAAGGCGCAAACACAACCTTCAACTCAATCAGAAACGATAACAGTCGAGCCGGACATCAAATGCGAGCCGGTGGATTACTACGACGAGGAGACCGACTCGAACGCAATGGACGCGTCTTCCGTGCGAGATCCTGGCGACTCGCGCCCTGCCACACCCTCGGAGCCGGCGGATTTGTCGAGCCGCCGGCCGGAGAACCTCACCTGCGTGCCGGAGCTGCCGGATTTCATTAAAGACGATGATGCTGCGTCGGATTACAGTAACAGTTCGGATCCCGAGCGTCTGGAGGTGGATATGTCGCAGGGAATGGAAGAGCATTCGAATTCGACCACAACCTCGGCGCCTTCACCCACCGTCGACCAGCATCATCCGTACCTGCAGAATCTGCATCATCATGCCGAGCAACACGACACATTATGGCGTGCGCTGTCACAGAATGGCCGCGCGACTGGTCCGTTATCGGGTGAGGCCAGTCATTTGCTGCGCAAGTTGATAACGTGCAAGAAACTGGGCATGACTATCACGCCAGCGCCGCCTTTTAAGAATGCAGAGAATGTCACCAAGGGGCCGACGAAGGAGAGCAAACCGAAGCACGGCGGGCGTCGGAAACAGACCTATCCGACGAAGATGGAGCCGGAGGATGCTAATTCCAGCCCTGCTAATGAGAACGACGTGGATGGGGAGTACGTGAATGACTTTACCGGTAACAGCTCGTGGTGCAACAATCTGCAGTTGGTGAAGAACGCAAAAGTATGTCATTTAAAGCTTTAAATTGCTAGGAAAGGAAATAGTTTTTGAATCTTTTTTAGGGAGGTGCGGGTATGGCGCGACGGGTTGATTTGGCGTGCACGAATTGTGGGACGCAGACGACGACCATCTGGCGACGCAACGTCAAGAACGAGATGGTCTGCAACGCATGTGGACTTTACTATAAACTGCACGGCGTCGACAGGCCGCACACGATGCGTCGCGACACGATACACACTCGGCGTCGTCGACCCAAAGATCAGGCGACTGAGAAACGTAAGCTTTGACTCTCTGCCAGTGATAATTACATGTGATAACTTCAAATTTACATAGGTTCACGAAAATCCAACAATGCCAATAACAACACGCCTGAAATACCCGACTCGGAAGACGTGCTGCGTGCCTTGCGAAAACAGCTTCAACCCCATTTGGTGATGGCGTTGACGGGACAAAAGTCCCTGTCACAGCGTCTATGCATCAGGTAACTTTCCAGCTGCTAATAATCCTTTGCCTGTTTTCTAATGTGTGTAATATTTTAGGGTGTTGAGGATTATCAAAAGTCGTTATCAAACCACCAGTCTCCGTCGCAGTCGACGCAGGAAGGTGAATCCGAGGACGAGAATTACCGCGACCTGCCGCTGAATCTCGTCGCGACGCAGATGACCGAGACCGAATCGCATTGATGCCGATCTGCCGCGGTCCCGCTGCTTACCCACTCATCAACTCGACTCGCCTCTGCACCCCTCACCCGTCGTTCAGTGCGGCACCAAGCAATACTAGTTCGAACTCTTCATGCCTGAGAAGTGTGGCCGAGGCGACACGCACTTTTAGTGATATTACCGACGACATTAAACCTCTCGACGAATCTCTACCGCAAGCGCAGCTCTCTATTTTGTTGGAAGTCGGAGGCGGTACGGCGCACGACACGTGTGGGCAACACAGCAAAACCGCTCGTACTTACGCCGGAACGAACAAAAATCGTAACTTAAAATACTCATACACTTGATGATACAGTTAATTCGTTGCAGCGCGACGTAAACAAAAACAAGAAAAAAAACCGGTAAGGCGAACGAAACAAAGAAAACGCAAATACTTAAAAAAATCACCGCGATTGTGATAATCTTTTTCTTTTAATTAATAATTTTATGACTCGTATGAGAAAGAGAACATTATTGTAATATTAACGTTAATAACACTGTTTTAATGTTTAACGAATAGGGTTTACGTGAAATCATCAGTGATGGTGTGTGGACAGAGCAGGAAGAACAAACCAATTGCACATTAGTATTATAATTTATGCTAAACACACACACACACACACACATTTAATATTTTGCAGCTATCTTTTAGGTATTTATATTCTTTTGATACATTATTTGTATTTGTAATGCCAGTACCTCTACAGTTTCTTTATCATTACGTTTTTATTTATGAGTTACTTAAACAAAGCAACCAGAAGGTATTCGAAAACAAAACAAACAAGCAAGAAAAAGATACACACACACTGCAATATGAGATTGGTATTATTTGCTGGAGGAGGTCGAAAGTACACGCCGCAATACTCATTTATTTATAAACGTGGTAATTGACGAAATTACTTAATTTTAGTTGTCTAAGTAACAATGATTCGCTGCGAATGCTTGTATTGAACAAACTTTTACACACACTTCAATCAAATACAGGGTATAGTAGGGGTGAATTTTCGAACAATTTGCAATTTCGAGGACGGAAGCAGAATACTCAACGTTTTTTTTTTTTAATTTCTCATCAGCGACAGCGAGGAATCTCTCTCTCTCGTACACGTACACTAAACCTACTTTAATTACGCTCGAACTTAAATATTTATATTTTATTATCGGTTTAAGCGATGAACTTACAATTTTAAATATGGAACTAACTGAGAACGTATGACCAGTAACTAAATACCTAATAAGAGTATTACCAATAATGTCTACTATAACACTTTAGCAATGTTTAAGTTTTTTTTTTTTGTGTCTTAAATTTGAGTGTTTACGAATACGCGCAGTATTCGGAGGCCTATTCGCGTACGCCGGACGCGACACGAGCGAAAACAATACCAGTGTTAGATTGAAATGACATTATCTTTAATTGATATTGTTATAACGTTAATTGTAAATATTAGACGAGGCGTGCTGATGGACAGGCGGCACGATTTACACCCAGTGGAACTCTTGTAGGGTTTAAATATTTCTCATTTCGTTGGTTAGAATCAGAAAAGTCTTTTGATTTTTCCATGTGTTGTTTGATGGTAGCTTCCATGGGGAACTAAAAACACGTTGTACAGAGCGGACGAACGCGACCGGCGAGTGCGCTTTTACGTTTTTTATTCAGTATTTTTATACATACACGTTTAGTATTTGTATTTGTGGTTGAAACGATGCTTATTATTTATTGGTTTTGATGGATCTGATAGTATTAACAATCAAAAGTCAAGAAGAATGTGCTCGATCGGTTGCGATTGTTCGGACGCTCTTTTAAGAGTTGATTTTTTATGAAAAATACTTATAACAAAATTGGTGCTTTTACAATTATGAACGCGTTGGTTGTTGTTGGGTAGTACGCGCGTCCGAATTGTGGTTTTTATTTTATTTACAATAATCATCGATGTGCGTGCTGCAATAACCAGTTCATTAACAGTTGTTTATTAAAAAAGAAAATGGTTTTAGTATTGTAACGGTGAGCTAACAATGTCTCTTCAGCGCGCGTTGATTCGATGCAATTGTTTAGTTGATCATCGGTTTTGTTTTCCGTGAGTAACCTGAGATGTGTTAGCTCACCGTAAAGGTTCTGCATGAACTTTACACCAACGAATTTATAGCTTCTAACACAATACTCGAGTATATTTTGTAATTTATGTATTAAGAACTTTTGTTGTTTTTTATTATCGAGCCGCAGCTATAACAAAGAAACTGTAACGAACGAACAAAAACCTAAGAATTAACGAAGCCCCGACTAGTGTCTTATACACGGCGCGTCCGCGTGGACGCGTCCCTCACATACTAAGTAGTATTTTTGGTAGTTCTTAGTTTTACGCGTTTATGATTATGCTCTATGAAAAAAGTAACGATTTATTATTATAGAAATACTGAGTTAACACGATTAATGCGTAGTATTAACCAAGCGAGTGATATTTAACATATTATTATTGATGTAGTTATTTAATTCTCTCTTTCACTTGAATCTTTTTGTTCTTTAACGTGTCGTTTCTTAATTATTGTCTAATTATTGCGTAATTAACTTATTTTGTACCCAAAATCAGTATTGTATACGTTTTTATAACCACAACACCACAACACACAACTCACACCCCCCATGATACATCGATATAACAAAGCAAAAAAATGAATATTACCGAAATGCGCCAATTGTAACTTATGTATTTTTGTAATCGCTATGTTAAAATTGACTCGGCATGCAGTGCGGAGGTGTGCGGTTTTCATGCGCGAATCTCTTCACGAACACGATTTTTACATGCGTTAATTATTATTATTATTATTATTATAATGTACATTGTTTAGTTATGATATTTTTTTGGCAGCTGTGCCTCTAAATTATACAACACACCACTTTGAATCAACCACCAACCCAGAGGCTACAATAAACTCAACTACCATTTGATGGCATCATCAGTAACGCAGACACAGAGACGAATACTGAACGATTCGGAAAAAAATGCATTGACATTGTTTTAAGTTTTTTTTTTTTTTGTAATGCTAATTTTAAAAGTGACTGTTATACACACAGAATGTTATTTATTACCATTGGCAATTTCGTATTATAGGAATGATTGTGATAACAAAACTGGAGACAAACGATAACTGAGAAATGTAAATGTTGCATGTTGGACTTAAACAAATTTCATGGACGTTTCATTCTTATAATTCGATGTTGAATGTGCAGTGCCGGGCGCGCTGTGACTGATCAATTGAATGAAAATGATACTATGTTGATGCATTGATATATTAATATTGAATGTAATGATAACAACAGAATTTTTAAGTATGGAACAGACACATTTATGTATAAAAGTTATATATAAGTCGCTAATAATAGTTGAAATATTTTTCTATGGAATAATAAAACATGGCTGCTAATTTCAACGTTTTCATGCCGGGTTCCGGGTGGTTTTGTTTCAGAATGCGTTGGATTTTCGGTAGTTTATCGCCAGTGGCGTGCGTGTTGTGCTGTTTTTTTTTTGCAGTTCGCAGGTCAATAGACCGGCTGGCAGTTTGAATTTTGGCGCCGTTCGTGCCGGTTGCCGACTTGCGACGACTAGTTGAACTCGGATCGACATTGGCTGCGTTCGGTGTAGTTGCTGCATGCCTTTTGTGCGGTCGAGTTGACAGGCAGGCTCGGTTGTGTGCGTTGTTTTTCCGAGCGAAGGACCTGGAACCGCGAGCGAGGAGCCGAAAAAAGTGCATCTCGGTTCTCGGCGCGAAGCGTTCCAGCCGCCCGGACAAGGAAGAAGCGGTCGTCGACGGTGTGCAGAATTGCGGTGGCGATTGATCGGCGGTGCTGCGCCGCGCGTGTGCATCCCCGGAGTGAGTGCGCGAACGCCGCGAGCCCCCCGGACATCGGGCGCCGCGGCACTGCAAGGGGCGCTGAATAAGCAGCGCGTCCAGGTGCCCTCCGAGTTCGACGCCACGGACCGGACTAGCGCACTTGGGCACGACCAGTGCGAAGAACTATGAAGAGACGGAATGTGGAAGTCGGTAAAATGAGAAGACCCATGAAGCGGAGCAAGATCCCCGAAGGACTGTATGGCAGGTAAATGAGGCGGGCAGTGGGGTGGTAAACGCGGACGCCGCCGCGCGCGTGCAGCTGTGCGTTGCATCATCGCAACCGGCGGCGCGCTGTCCCTGCAGCCAGCCGGAGGTTAGGTGCGCATTGTTGCAACCTGCGATACTCGCCAACCGCTCGCGTTTTCGTTTCCTGCGCCCCCGGGCCCCCTGAACCTGTTGATCCCCTCACTAATTTCCCACATTTCCTTTCCTTCCAGCAGAAGATCCAGTAACCATGTGCCGACCAATGCGGTTGTCTCTAAAGTGGATGTGGATACTACTAATGCTGGTGTTGATGTTGTTTGCAGCACACTGCTTTACTTCAGGTTCTTCATCCTCTGGGCGCTGGTGATCCTCGCCGACTTCATTCTCGAGTTCCGCTTCGAGTTCCTCTGGCCATTCTATCTGCTGTTGCGGTCCGTCTATGACTCCTTCAAGTATCAGGGGCTCGCCTTCTCCGTTTTCTTCGTCTGCGTGGCGCTGACCAGCGACATGCTCTGCTTCTTTTTCATCCCGGTGCATTGGCTGTTCTTCGCCGCCAGCACGTATGTGTGGGTGCAGTACGTGTGGCACACCGACAAGGGCATCTGCGGGCCAACGATCGTGCTCTGGATGCTGTTCGTGTACATCGAGGCGGCCGTGCGGCTGCGGGATGTGAAGCACATGCCTGGTCACATGGATCTGTGCCGCCCGTTCGCGGCGCATTGCATCGGCTACCCGGTGGTGACGCTCGGCTTCGGATTCAAGTCCTACGTGGGTTTCCGTATGCGGCAGAAAAAGCAGCGGGATGTCGCCAAGGAGAACGAATTTTATCTACAGTTAATGCAACAGGCGTTGCCGGCGGAGGCGGTGCATGCTGAAATGCAGCAGCCGGCTGTGCAAGCGCCTGCGGCTGCCACAGCCACTGCTTCCGCTGCGCCCGTGAAGCACACGCACAAGTTGCACAATGGGAATGTACCCAACGGGCTGCACGCGAACGGTGTGCCGCAACAGCACCATCCACCTACGAATAAAGCGCACCGTCGAGGGGTAATAGTGAATGAGAAGGTCAGAGAGCACGGGCACGACCACGACGAGCATCAGCACACTACAACGCCCACGGCTAATGGCGCAACGTCTACGAAACGCCATGGCGGCAGCCACAAGATGAGCAACGGCGTGTGCAGTGTGTCCACCGAAGAAGTGCCCGGCCATGAGACGCCGGAGGCGATTGTAAAGCCTGTAAATAACCGCAATCGACGCGAGCGCAAAGAACAGTC